ATTGGCTTTAATTTGTTTGCCTGAGGGTGGATGTTTGCTAGATGCTTTGGATCGGATCTGATCACATCATCCATACTTCTCTTTCAGGTGTTCAGATACAGGACTCTATTTTAGGTCACAGAGTTCTCCAACCCCCAAACCTCTTACTTGGCAGCTGAGTTAGGAGTGGTTTCAAAGCTGTGTCTGTTGGGCCTGTGCAAATCTGCACATCAGAAATGGAGGTCCAGTGCAACCAACAATGAAAATGAGACCTTTTATAAGTCCCCAACATTTCCTTTCCTCTGTTACATCTTTTTGTCAAGGTATCTGTCTGGCAACACTATAATCTGGGAACAACCAGAGTCAGTACTGACTGCTTTTACGGTCAAAGCGCCAAAGTGTGCCACCGTGAACGAGATTAATCTATCTATCTATCTATCCATCCACCTATTAATTGCACAGTTCCATTTTTCATTTTAACCACCTCAGTCTTCAGCTGTACCTTTTTTGTCACAGCTTTTACAGAGTTTGGCTTGATGAGCTTTGGCCGTTCCACTGAGCATCCTGTTTAATAGATGCTCATAACCACGCTGCTGTCCTGGGGAAGGTTACCTTGGGTTTGCAGAGACAAAGTGGTGCAATTCCCCGGGCCAAGCTGTGTAAGTGTAGCATCTCCATACGCCCTCGGCCAGCGAGAGGAAGCAGCAGGAAAGGGAGAACAGGAGCTTCAGAGCATTCTTCCCCTTCCCAGCCCCATGCTTCTTCCTGTCGTCCTTCTCCTGCATGCTCCCTCCCTCCCCTCTCCTGTTCCTGCACCCCATCCCTGCCATCCGCCACCGCACCCCGTTCTCCCCATGCCCTGCTGCCCTGCCGTCAGAGCCTAGCCCCCGGGTGCGTTCGCTGCTGTTGTCTCAGCACTGGCTCCTCTGATCTACTCCTAACTTTTTTGTTTTTATTTTTGTTTTTAAATTAATTTCCCTGTAGATTTTAACCACTCCATTTTCATTTACCCATTTTGTTCTTCCTCTCCTCCCTTCCCCACCCTCCTCTTCCTCCCCCTGTTCCCTTTGTCTGTCTGTGTCCATCCCTTACCCTACCACAGAAAACCTCTCCTCTCCCCTCAGTATAAAGCAAGAGCCTCATGGAGCCTCTCTCACCCCTTTCACCCCCACCACGCCGGTCGGCTCTGGGCAGGCTGATCTTCAGCCCTTCCACATGGCCCTCTCAGACGATGCGTCCACGCCTTGCTACAGTGCCTTCCTTCACCATGGTGCCCACTTTGGGCAGTCCAGCAGCCAGCCTCTGATAGCAGGTAACGGGCCTTGGCCACAACCTCAGCGGGGATGCTGCAGGCAAGGGGTTCAGTTTCGTCTGACGGGGAGACCAGTGAATGCTGCAAGCTCTTTGAGTGCAAGTGGGGACCAGAGCAGCCGTGGGCCAGTTCTGTGTATGCAGCACGTGTTCTCAGCTCCGAGCAGAGTCACGGAAAGATTTCATGCCTGTCCTTCATTTCTTAGAATAAAATGGGAAAAGAAGCTGTAACTACCTAGCAGTGGCTGCGTGTGGCAGTTGGATGGGTCTGGGACTGAGTACAGGAACACTCCTACGGGAAAAGCCTGTGTTGGCTCAACAGCCACCGTGCCCCTGGGCGCTGCGTGCCCAGCCAGGGTACTGCCTGCTCGCCTAGGGTAGATGATTGTGGCGTGAATCACCTTGCCAGCTCTAGGACTTTAGCAGGGTCCTTCAGCGTGGGTTCTACAGACTACAAAGTCTGACATAGGCAACTGGTGAGCGCTGCCGTAGCTATGTTGTGAACGACGTTTGAGTCACCTGGTTTGGGAGTGTCGGTGTGAGCCGGTGCCTTCACACAGCAGACCAAGTAGGTAAGAAGCAGGGCATCACGTCTGAATGCCAAGCCCAGGAAGGGTGGGTAAGAGACTGCAATATCTTACAGCCAAAGGAATACAGGCCTGAGGTAGGCGGCTGTCAGGGAGGGACAGAAATGCAGACATGTGCTGCAGAATATGGCAGCACTTAGAAGTGGCAGGCTGGAGGGGAGGAAGGAGAAGCTTCAGGTGGGCACTAGGGGAAACCTTGTGTGCAAGGTGACTGAAGCCACATTGCTGCAGAAGCTCAGGGGGGGCTTGGATGAAATAGTGGGAATCATTTGAGGTGACCACCAAGGCTGTTGTCACTCCACTGTCAACTAATGTAATTTGGGCTTTCTCAGAACAAAGTCTTAGTGCAGACCACAGTTCCGAACGCCCAAGAAACACATCTTACCTCTGCCACCTTCATGCTCCTGTATTGTTTTTCTCTTTTGACCTAGCTTCCTCCCTTTGCCTCGTCAGGCGAGATTTGCATTTCTAAACCTCCCTGTAGGAAAGCAGCAGGTAACATCAGAGAGGACATTAGTTTTCACGACACTGCCTTGGTCCAACCTCACTGCAGACAGTAAGAGCCTTTGAGCTCCGGGCACCTCCTAAGCCAAGGAGTCTGCCAACAGACTCTCTCCAACAACACCGCTCTCTAGGGACGCAGCCATATCTGACCAGCCTCTGGCCTAGAAGGCACTGTGTCTCAGGAGGGGCACCTGCCTTGGGACCCGTGTGGAGAATTAGACATGGGGGAAGGCGTTCAAAAGCCCAGAGGATGTCCCAGTGATGAAGGTGCTGGTCCTCGCGCAGAAGGCTCTTGGAGAGGGGAGAACGGCTGGAGTGGGAAGCATGTTATGAGCAGGATAGGTGCTAGCTTTGCCATAGCCCTGGAGTACAAGAATTTAATAATCCCGTCTACCTGTTTGTAATGAGAGGAGGTAATGGAAGGGGCCTGCTTGCACCTAACAGCATTTTAAGAGTCTCTCTGTGGGACTCTTATTCGTGTTGCTGATACTGTACTTGTTCATTATCTTCTTTTTCAAGACTGGGATTTTGACAGATGATCACTTCCCAGTGAATTTTCCACACGGAGTATGGAACATCAGCCTCTGTGCGCTTGTGTCTGAGTAAAAACACAGGGGCGTGTGCGCATGGCTCGAGTAGCAGAGTGAGTGTGTACTTCCCACCTGAACGGAAGTGTCAAAATGAGTTCATTTTGCCTGCTGCTGCGTAACGTTCTCTCTAACTTTTCAGTGATGCTGTTTTCCCACTCGTCACCTGTTGTTATTTCTCAGGCTAGTCAATAAATGAAACCCAAAAGAACATGAATTTTAAACATAAAACTTTCTTGCCTTAAAAGAATGTGAAGGAAAAAAAACCCTACATCTAGTAGGTGTTAATCATGCAGCTTAACACACAGCTACAAATCACTAAAGGAATGATGGTGATAAAAGAGTAGAAGCGTGTAGAATATAAATCCCTGAGGCATTATATGTTTATTTTTATCAATATTGGGGAGTGGCTGGAAAATGACTCAGCCGTTGTCTGGTAGTTCTGTGCCGTTACCTAAGAGGAGGTGAGCTAGGAGCATCAGCTACTGATCAGGAACCTCTTCGGGGAGAAAGAATGAACTTGCATTGCTTTTTTCTTGAGCAAATCACCTCAGTAATCTTTAGTCAAGACCCACGAAAGCAATGACACCGGTTTAGTCTAACTCATCCCAGAGAAACTTCCTCCCTGCAGGTTAACGCTCCGTGTTGATTAGTTTTTGCTTTGCTGTGTAACTGTCATTTATTTCCAATTCCCCAGCCAAGGTTCGTGCCTGTTCCAGGGCCTGCTTTGTCAGTTATCGTTCTGCCACTAGTACAGCTAAACCAGCTCTGATTCTTCTTTCACTGGCATATCCCAGCACAGTTCCAGTGACTCCAGTGGTGTTAATGGGCTGTACTTAACTTGTCACTTCTAAAGGCAAATCAGACTCCAGCCCTCCAGTTAGAACAGACCAGAGAGGCAAAATTTAGCGAAGGAACATGGCACAAAGTTCTTGGTGAGCTGCCGTTCACCTAGGGAATGTAGAAGGCTTTGGGTGTCTGCAACAGGCTGAGAGCTCAGTAGGCAGCATTGGAGGTTGAGCCGTAAATCTCCCAGCAGCTGTGGGGGAAAGATTATCTCAATTTATTTAGCCTTTTTTTTTTATTTTTCTTCCCCGGTTTTGGCTTGAAACTCCCAGCAGCTTTTGAGATGATTTTAGTTCATTTAAATGCAATAAGCACTAACAGCAAAATGCCCTTCTGGCTGGCCCATTTTCAGGCTAACCAGTCCAAATGAGGAAATGCCTCTGGCAGCAACCAAGAAGCCTCCAGCTGCACTTCCTAAGAGATGAAAAATAAACTACAATCATCCACCCAGTCCACACCCCTCTCTACTTCTTTGGTGGAGAAAAGATACCACGACTTTAAGTATGAATAACAAAAACTTGTACCTGTATAAAATGAAATGGGACTCAAACTAATTCACATGATCCTATTATTGTACCTGTTACACCAACACCTGGAAGGAGTCCAGCCAGTATTAAACTCATGCTAAGCACTGTGCAAATGTACCAGAAGTGTGCCCTTGCTCCAAAGAGTTTGCAGCATAAAAACAAGCACAGAGAGGTGAAGTGACTTGCCCAAAATCATCAGCAGGTGAATGGCAGAGGTGGGAAGAGGGACAGGCACAGAAAACTCTTGGATCACTTTCCAGTGAGTGCTGGGCACACTGATCATGCCCTAAAGCAACATCGCCACAGTTCTGGAACTGCATCCGCTGCATATAGACAGGACCTCAGCTACTCTGGCACAAACACGCTGCCATTCTCTCTGCAGCCCAGGGCCACTTTGATTTAGTTAAAATAGATCCAAAATCTACAGTGAAACAAAACAAATTCTTTTTTTAACACCCATTCTTGTGGTGTGAGATCAAAAGCGCCACAATCTTGCCCAGAATTTTCAGTGGATGGACAGCACTTGTGTAAGCGAAGGCTGCATAGCACTTGCCTATCAAGCCGCTAGCCACGTGAGACTGGGATGAAAGGTGGTATCAAATCAATACTGAAAGACCTTATCCCTGTTGACTGCCTGTCCTGATTCTTCTCCTTTCCAGGTCGTGATATGGCAAGCACCACCTTGCCTGGCTACCCACCCCATGTTCCACCGACCGGACAAGGCAGCTACCCAACCTCAACTCTTGCAGGAATGGTTCCTGGTAAGTCAGCCTCCAGCCTTCAGTAATGGTGCACGCGTGTTGGCACGGTATACTAGCGCTGGAAGAGCTTTCACCGTTGGCTTTGCTATTGCTTTGCTGATACTAAGGCCTGTTCTTTTCATACAGAAATCATCAGGTGCCCATAACCAACGCAGCTAACCACCCTTTCTGTAATGTGTCTCTTTCGCCCTAGTAACTGATTCACTGCTGCTATGGGCAACTAGCTATCTATAACCTGTGGCAATTAATTGGTAATTAATTAACCTTAGTATTCATTAACTAATGTAATTATTTTCCAACGACCCATGCAGATTATTATGTACTGCTCATGGCTCGGGATATTCAGCTGTCCACTAACTTAGAGTAACAACTTACCTTCTATCTAAAGCCAGGGCATCAAACTGAAAATCATCAATGGTAATTTAACACCTGCAGTTTTTGGGGACCTATTGTCCGTAGCTTAAACTAGCTACGAACTCCGCAATGATTAAGAGCATTTTAGGAGAAATAACTATTCACTTTCAACAACCAACTACTTACCCACCTCCTGCTTGTAAGATAGTGCCTCCAATCCAAGAAACTATTTACCTAATCCTACACCCAAAGGCAAACTGTTCCTTTGCTGCCCAGTGCCTCTGGAGAAACACCTTCTCTTGGCGCATGGGTTCTCCCAGTGTGCAGGGAGAAGAGAGGACTGTTTACCCCAGCAGAATTGAAGAGTTTATTTTCCCAGGCTCCATTCCCCACTCCTCTGCTGGCAATCATCCCCAGCAGATAAATGAAGAGGCAAGATTTTCACTTCTCAGCTATGGTAGCTCAGAACTCAGAACTTCATCTGCCACTGATTTCTGTTGATGTTACTGCCCTGGGTTGTGAGCCGTGATGGCTAATGAGCAGGTACACAGTCCATTCTGCAACCTCTGCTACTGGAGGGATGACTCGGGAACTGAAGCAGCAGAAAGCTGAGGACAGAAAGCTCTTAAATCACTACGATATGATTTGCCAGGGCTTACAGGTGAAAAGCCTAACTTAACCCTCATCCAGATCTCACTAGCTAAACGATCGTACGCTGCAGTGAGGACAGTGAAAACATCACTGACAGGAAATGTTTGGAGGTCAGAGTCTTAACACTTTAAATGACAAATCACTGCTTATATACCATGAAGTACTGGCTAATACCTATGGGCACATTCCAGAGCCAACAAGCTACCGACTGCTTCTGACCCGAAGGCGCAACAAAATCTTGGGCTATGCCGTGAAGCTGACGTGACTGACCTCCAGCTCAGGGAAAGGCAGTGGATCGGTCCCCTCCTCACCCCCACTTCAGTCCCTTGGTACAGTCAACCAGCTTGATGAACTTCTGGGGTGGTGAGAGTGGGCAAATTTTAGGGCATCTCCTGCTATGCTAAATATTTCAGGGAGACGGTTCGGCCTCAGAATCAAAGACAATCTAAATCAATTAAAACCCCCGACACAGTAACGGTAGGTAGACTCAGGTGCCAACATTTAAGTCAGGTATAGGTCAAAACTTACAGAAGCTCATGGCATATAGAAACGATTAATAACACCAAAATAGCTGGCTCTTTGGATAGGTACTTCTAAAAAACAGGCTCTCCTCGGCTTCTGACTGATCTCAGCTTCTCAGTTGTTCAGTGACTGCTATGTAAGTTCAACATTCTCATCACAAGGATGACACTGACATCTAAACCAAGACAAAAATTTTAAGACGGCTAACCACAGGGGTCGCATCCATGAATAGGGTATTTCAGCTCCTTGACGTGGAGGCTACTTATCTGTAAGACAGCAGTGTCCCCTACAACACACAGATACCCCCAAAAAGAAAAGGAACAGGACGAGAAAGAAAAAAATTGAGTTATACTTCAAAGAAAAAAAAAGTCAAAGGGATACCTTTACATTAAATCTGATGTCAACATTCAATTAGAGGAAGTCTTTCCAGTGGCCTGCTTCGGCGTCATGCAGTCATTACTGCATCTTTCCACAGAGCATCAAGTTCTGGCTGTTCCAGTCCTACCCCAGCGGTCAGACCCAGTCTGGCAGCCCTTCTATTCCTGTCTTCTAACGTGACTGAAGCCAATGAGCTGAGATCAGGAGGCTTCCTGGGAAGGAACATGAGACTTGGCTTTAATGGGTCGCGCTGCAGATCTCTGCAGCCATTACTCTCTGTCAGGGGCCAAAAGTGAATGCCTGGGGAAGGGTGTAAGAGTAGAGCAAGTACGTATCGGTACTTTCTCAAAAGATTTCCCAGCCTCCAACAAGTTGCAGCTCAGAGACTTCCTAAGCCAGGCTTAGTATCTTTCTATTTAATATTAAATACCCTTGATAGGTTTCCCCTCCACAAACTTCAAGTGTCTCTTGAACCCATACAAGCCTTTAGCATCTGTAGCAACCTATGGCAAGAAGTTCCGTAGCTTAACTACATATTGTGTGAAAACTACCTCCCTCATTTGTTCTGAACCTGCCACCTGCTAGGCTCACTTCATGCCTCATGGTTTCTGTATTAGAAGACTAAACGTGCCAAGATTTAAATACAGATACCAACAAATACTGTTTAGTAAAGGTTCCCAGCGCACAGATTGCACAGGATATAGGCCTCATGAGATTGATGCTCTGTGCTTGCTTGCAACCTCTGTTAAGAGTCCAGGTTGAAGAGAGAAAACAAATATGATGTTACCAATGGGTTGTTACCTGCCCCCAGGCTGAGACATATCAGGGCCAGTGCTCTAACTACAGTGGAGACAAGAAGACTGCCCGCTCGTGGAGTATCTTGAGGAAACACACTGACACACAAGCAAACCTTATTGTCCAGACATGAGTGAATATGAGACAGAAGCTCTGTCTTCTCTAAATCAAGGTGTGGACCTAAAAATAGAACTGGTCAGAAAGCAGAATTTCCAACCCATGAAAAACTCTGATTTTTTTGACGTTTGTTTTCATCTTGCATTGGGGTGAGGAGTCAGAATCTTGAAATTGTTCAATTTGCAAACATCAGGATGAAACATTTCAGTAACGTCAACATGTTCTAGATGTCAGGACACATTAAAATAATAACAGAGTTGAAAGGAAATTAAATGAGATGAGAAAGGTAAAATGAAACAAAACAAGAAAGTTGAAACATAATACTTTGTCTCAATTTGCAATCATTTCAGAACTTTGCTTCCCAAAACTCCACTGAAGCTGACAAACTCGTGCAAAACATTTCCATTGCGATGAGACAGCATTTTCCAGTGGAAAACTGCTTCTGAGAGGACTGACCAGTGCTGACCAAAGCTTGCTCTGTTCTACCCATGACAACCTTTCACTAGACTTCTACTCGCGCAGCCTAGCGAAGAGCTTGTCTCCGGTAGCAGTACATCCACGCGGCAGGGGCAGTCACGTGTGCAAACGCCTCTGAGGTTCACGCAGATGCTGTGGCAGGACACGGATCCTGCAGTTGCCCTTGCCTGGAAGTTCAGGTGCCAGGCTGCAGAGGCGGGTGCAAGCCACACGCTTGAAACCGCAGGGGTTAGTCACTCACAGCAGGACGAACGCGGTGCTGCGCTGCGCTCAGCCTGTGTGCCGCAGAGGGGTTTCCTGCACGAGTAACAGCACCTCTGATCCCCGCCTCGGTTCTTCCACTTTCCCAGGAAGGCCATCAGGTGTCTGCAGCATGTTTTGGTGCCACGAGCATCCGCCGAGGGAACTGCCGTTTACACAGAGCAGCGGAGAGGGCTGCTGATGGCAGCGGCAGGGAGTCGTTAAGCAGAATCCAATGTTGATGAGGAAATTACACTTGTTTCATTAGTGATCGGGGAAGGCGATAGCTCAGTTCCTCTTGGTCACAGTTGAGCTCAAAAGCTCATTATCCTGCTGCATGCATGCTTTCACTCCTCGTCAATAAACACCGTTTCCAGTGGCTGCCCTCCCTCCTCCCCAGCTCTCCATGGCTGGGGCCCTTCTCCGCCACTTAACCCGTGCCGTAGAACACTGTGAACAGTTTAGGGTGACAACTCGGCAGAGGGTGAGAGAGAGGCCTCGAAACGTCAGAGCTGCTCTTCTCCGTGCAGAGAAGTCATGTTTCTGTGAGGCATTTCAAACCAGAAATTCTCATCTGGATAGTTTTTTTCCTTCTTTGGGGAGAAAACTCATTCCAGTATATTCCACAGAGAAGTCACTTCAGTAGAGAGAAATCTGGACTATGCATTGCTTTTTGCCTTTGTATCCTATGCCACAGCATCTCCATCCCCGTAGCAGGTTTCACCTACTCCTTCCCAGCTACCTGTCAGGATTTCCAGTGCAGAATGTTTCTAGATATGGAAAGATGCTGAGTTATTATCATTAAAACAGTATTTAGTGAGGTCTCTCACACAAAATCAAGGTTTATGCTGAAAGTGAAAACTGCCATGACTAAAATACCTTTGGATGGTGATTGTTTTTGATAGATACACATTTTTGTACTGACTACTTTGGTTATTACCCTGAGTGTCTTTAAAAAACCTGGCTGGACATATTTTCCTGAAGTTTCAACCAGTGCAAATCCCCTGGTTTCAACAGACTTCATTTCCACCGCCTGAGAATCTGTGGCTTTGGCTTTAACTCTCTGGTGAGGGGAGATTTGCAGAGATTACACTGTAATTAATTGACATTTCTTCGGTAATTGTACCACAGGCACCCAGCGCCTCTTGCCTTGCCTTCTCTCCCTACTCTGCAGTATCTAGCAGGAACCTCGGGGGCTCCCCGAGCACTTCTGCTGTACCAAGTCCCCCCTGCCTCGGGGCAGACCAGAAGCTAACAGGCACACTGGTCTTTCGCTGTCTTTTAAGCACATAATGCCTTTCAGATGGCACTAATTGTCCCCAGCCTGTTGGTACTGCATTAAATTGAGGTTATGATCAGATAATGGCATGTTTTTACTTAACAGAATCATATATTTTTAAGTGTTGGGAGATTTATTTATTCTGAACGCAGCGCCATACCTCCTCAGTTACCAAATATAACCCCCTTAGCCCTGCACAGCCTTCTGTAAAACACGGAGCACAATAAAACTGAACATTTCAGGAGGCTCTAAACAACATTCAAATCTTGGAATCTTATTCGATCACAAACCTCACAAGTATTTTGGTTTGGGCCCGTTTTACTGAGTGTGAAGAAGGGAGCTGGAGGCCAGCTTGTCTTTCAGATTCAGAAGAGCACATAAAGCACTATTCATTAGAAAATTATTTTCTGGAACTGGAATACAGCAAGTTTTCTCAGTAACTGACTAAGCATAAAGGTGGGGTTCATCATATGTGAATTGCTTTTCCGACTAACACCATCATCCAGAGGAAGAAGGAGTGATCCAGACGTTTTCCATTTTGTTTTAGAGTTAAGCCCACCCTACACTCAGAACATTTCCGATAACGAATGATACTCTTCTCCACAAATTTGTCATCGCCCTCAGCACGCTACAAAGAAAACTTAGCAATACATATAGCCATCAACAGCACTGCTGGTTCCAGTGAATGTACTGCGAGCTTGTTCCATCAAGCTCCCATGCCTGCTGTCTTGACATTACCAGAGAACCTTAGATTTTATTTAAAAGAAAGCTGGTAGCTAATTGCAGAAGAAGCTTGCATATGCAATCCCACTGCAACCTGAGAATCAGAAGTCAGAAGGCAATGACAAATAAACCAGCTTAATTATTTATTTGTATTATTGAATTTCACTGTTTTAATATCTTGATTCTGCAGAGGTCAATCTTACAATTTGTGACTGTGTGGGTAAGCAGCATGGCACTGAACAAACACCACAACATCCGCACGGGCACGGTCCCAGCCGGGCAAGGAAGCGACATACTCCAGTTTTCCTGCTGGCATACGGATTCAGCACGAACACTGGCTTGATGGAAGAGCAGACATAAATCTTCGTTCCTAGCTGTGTTTCACACCTTCCTTGGTCTCTTCGGTTCAGCAACCCTGCACTACTAAGTGAGTACCTCTTTCCCACAGCACACCCCCAGCCTCGCGCTCCTTCTGTTTGTCTCGTCGTTTGCTTTTCTTTGGGTTTTTTTTTTGTTTCTGAGGAGGGTTTTCAAGTATTTGGGCAGGTGAGAGGCCTTTTTCCTCACTCTCCAGTCCAGCGTCTGGATAGGTATATACCTCACACGTGTGTTGTGTCTGTCCTGAAGCCAGTTCCTCTTGCACGAGGTGGTTCAGAATTCCAGTTCAGCTCTGCCTGCTCCATGGGCTGCATCCACAGTTTATTCCAGATCAGATCAGATCAGAAGTTAAATTTGGGTTCTGCCAATCTCTCCAGCCGCAATCAGCATCCATTCAAGGTCTGATCAAAAACCCAAGTGAGGTTTCATTCCTCTCCCAAGCTAAACCCAGGGTGAATTCCTGGGGATCTGGAAATCCCATAGAAGTTCTTCGGACTGGTTGGAACAGTGTCCAGAGTGGGAGACAGGCTGCATCGCCAGGTTTATAATAGCCAGTGGAGTTTTCTTGCAGGGATATATCCATCTGCAGTGACTCTAATATGCCCAGAAAGTCAGGTGTTTTTCAGCGGGAAAAAACCTCCCATAAGACCACATCTTCTAACACAACTTTTCTTTGCAATGGAACAGGAAGAGATTTATTATATCCAAAATAAATCAGCTGTGATTATTACCTGTGTATGGACTGAGGTTTAACAACTGGATAATAGATGCACATTTTATTCCAGTGTTGTTAAACCTCAGTAAATGTGATTTTAATAATCAATCACTTTGTAACACACATTCAGTAACCATCTAGAGGGCTTTCATGCCAAACGTGACCAAAATCGCAAGCAATAAAACACTGTAATGTCACTTGATTTCTCCCCTCCTGGTTTCAGAAGCGACCCGCTGTACTTTGTCGGGTGTGCTCCGAACACGTGGCTCTGAGGCTTGCCTTGGGGCTGCGGATGGGTGCAAGGCGTTTGTGCTGCGGTGCTCACAGGCTTCCCTCTCGGCAGCTTGTCGATGGTCAGCAGGAGCAGAAGCATCTCTTAGCGGTAGAGGGGCTTCAGAGGCAGAGGCCGCAGCAGCATCTCGCCACTGAAACCTGGCCCTTGGCTGGCTGCCGCCCACTGCCTTTGCCTACTCCCATTCTGAGTCCCCAAGTTCGTTCCTTGGCTTCCTTTCCTTTTCCTTCTTCCTTTCCTTTCCTTTCCTTTTCAGTTCTCCTTTGTTTCTGTTCTTCGTTTGATTGTTTTACTTTTTATTTTATTTTATTTTTTTTTTTTACTGTTTGTCCTTTCAACCAGTCCATTCTTCTCCTGTGTTAACTTTCAGGTTCCCCTTATTATTATAGTGCCACATCCCGGGGCTCCGCACCTCCCGCTGCTGCCGCTGCCTATGACCGCCACTTGTT